CGCTTAGACTGATCGATCAACGGCCGGCCGTTGATCGATCAGTCTAAGCGTTACTGTTGTCCTGTCGTGTCACGTGTGACATCATCATCACATTTGTTCCTCTTAATGCTTTGTTTCTCCAGCATCATTCACGGAATTGAATATGATATTGCCCCACATCAGACGCAACATACCTGATGCAATACCCATTGAAGTCTTTGCTTCTATTAGCCACATGCCATTAAAATGTGCAATTTCGCTCTTCTGACGACGGTTGTTGGTGCACCAGTTGTAAGATAACAAGGTCACAGTAGAAAACCTAACTGTAATTTATTTATTAAAATGACTCATAGACTTTATACAGGTATTGGACTTTCATCTCGTCCATGTTCCATTTGCTTCTCTTCAATTTCGAGCACTGGAGGCAGTCGCTTTAGGACCGAATCCATCAAGTTAACTGCCAAACAGAATTTGTAAGTTTCATCTAATACTCCGCATACCCTAACCACTGGCGACTAATGGCAAGGTAGCTAACTAATCCCTGTTTCTGATAGAGGGAAACGTTTTCGATTAAATTAAAGTCCCAGCTGCAGCTGCTGTTAATAGAACGAATTTGACATTGAAATTGACCCCTCCAGACACCGCATAAATGTGAAAAAAATAATATTTATTTAGGTCTAACCGTTTGCTACCACCAATCTCAAGCGAGCTGATATACTAACCTTCATATGTAAAAAGTATGACTTCCACGAATGCATTTGGGAGTGACAGTTATCAAAACCTTCCTCATCAGTGCAAGGAATTTTACTATGTCCATATTGGCGTATGCAAGAGACCAACAACAATGCACTGAATAATCACTTCCCTTCCAATTCGTTAGGAAGGATAGATATTTACTTCGTTTGACATATAAAAATAAACTCATTAGAAAACTAACTCAGTAGATCAGCTTTCATAATCTGCTGAATTACTTGTTGGCCACCAGTGAGATAAACCCATTGCCAAGTAGGTGAGTGACGCGATTTAAATTTGTTGGTACTATACTTTGTTGGGCGTTTGATAACGGCTTTATATCACGTGGCCTCAGCTGCATTTCAAATTGAGCTATCATTTTCCAAAAGAAGGCGTTGGGGAAAAATGGCTATTCTCCAGATTGGTTTTATGCAACTCTTCCCTACTGCAATCAAATACAACCATCATCTTACTTCGATATGGCCGGTTTTCTCCCCCTCGGTTTATGTCTTGATGGAGAAATTTCGTTGAATATCCAACAAATTGGACTTATTTTCACATCAAAGCGCTTCCATAAGACACCCAATGAGCCATCAGGTTTATGTACCTATCGATTAAGTTGCCCCTCGGCTTCAATTATATGCCAAAACCTCCTGAAAGTTTCATCCGGTTTAGGTATGGTGGCGCAACAGGACGCTTATTTAACGAGCCGCACACCTCAAGGTCAACTTTCGAAGATCAACTTGTGATCAACTTGGTTTCATTTCTTGAAGCATTGTAGATCATGCGTGAGTAGTTTGCAGCCAAATGAGGGTGATTTTGCACGAGTTTGGTCAAAACCTATATATATATATATCCAGACTCCTGGGAAGTTCGGTTTTCTCCACAAAATATCGTTTTGTGCATCACCTTTTAATTACATGGGATACCCTATCGGCTAACTGTCTTGTTATGGTCATGGATATTGTGTGAATGGAGATTTGTACACGAGGTAAACTTTTCCAGATACTCTGCAATCAGTTCCCTGGGTAGCAACACCTTTGATTTATCGACAGAATAGAAAGCAAGTTGAAGAAATCTGAATAATCGATGGAAAGATTTGCGATGACCAACAAAGAGCACCGGGCCACTTGGAGAATGATGCAATGACAACAAGGGCATAAATTCCATTGAGAAATGGACCGCAATAATCAGCATGAACACGCTGCCAAGTTTCAGTTGAACCAGGCCACGGAACTCACTTGGATGGCAACTATCGAGCTTTGTGGTAGCATTTAGGGCAGCTCTTTGCTTTGGAACATATGTCGGCCTCCTTGTTCGATCAACAAAAAGTCAATCTAACAAATAACTCCTTCTTTTCTATCCCACGATGGCTGGAATGTAGGTCGTCAAGTACAGCTTTACATAATGTCGGTGGAATAACAACTCTGTCATTCAAACACAGTAATCCATCAGGCGTAATTAAAAGTTCATCACGCCTAGCATAGTGATATGGAAATCGCTTCCGGGTCTGTGCATTCCAACCGTCCCGCAAAGCAATCATCACAGCAGAGAAATAACGACGTGTGTCACGAATAAGTTCTACGTGGCTCACAGGTAGAGGTTGTACTAGTAGTGAATCAGAAACGTCCTCTGGGTCCGAAGCGGGTAGCGATTGACACGAAATGTAATCCACCTGTCGGATGTATTTGGCACTGTGATGTTCATATGCACTGAGTGAGATACTCCAACGCTGAACCATAGCTGCAGAGCTTCTGGTAAGGGATTTATCAGGATCGAAAATGAATTTCAAGGCCTCATGATCGGTAACGGTGGTGAAATGATGACCGAAAAGGAACTTGTG